AAATGTCGGACATTTTCAAAGCCGCCTGGGACTTAATGGTCTCCTGGCTTGGTTCCCTTGCCAGCCTCGGCTTTGCCTGACGTTTGCCTCCTGAGAGCCTTTTATTCATTTTTCCTTCTTTTGGCCTTGCCTTTGAATTCGGTCTGATCATCCATGTGGATCAAGACCACGTCAGAAAAGACTGTTTTTCCAAAAGGTTAGCCTGTGGAGTTTGGAGATTTGGGGTTTTGATTTCGTTCTGATTTTGTTCTGGAAAAAAAAAAAGAAAGAAAAGAAAACCTCGGAACATGATCGCTCACATGACTTCTGTAGCACTCAAGGCATTTCGCCTCGGAGGTGTGAGGCTGCATCTTCCACGATGAGTCGACTCAGGAACCGCAGCGCTGGGGGTCTGGGAGCCTTAGAAAATGCTGAAACTCGCTGTCAACAAGACCCAGAGTTCCGGTCCTTTCCGTAGGTGACTACGAACCCAGTGAACCAAAGTGTGAAAAGTGCCTTGCCATGGGGACGGACATCTGTGCTCTGTCGGGCATGGAAAATGCCACTCACTTACTGTGGTCCTTATGGCCAGAAACAAACGCTCACGTGCAGCCGAGTTTCCTGCTTCCAGAATGATTAGAGAACAGATACTACAGAAGTCCAGCGGGACCAAAGAGCCGCAACAGTACTTCGTCCCACTGGGGAGCTCGTTCCCGGGCCCCTGGTGGCTCCAGGGAGGCTCCGTTCCAACGTCCACCTTCTGCCCGCACTGCTCGTCACGCCCGTCTCCAGGTCCCCCACCTGCTCCATCCTCACCGGCAGGTCGAGGCTGTTCCGCAGACGCCACCGCGGGAGGCCACCGCCTCTCCTCGCCGGTTTTTGCCGAGGGTGCATGGTGCATGTCAACTGTACCCTCCGTTGAGAATCAGAGAAGGAAATAATGGCTCATTATTGTTTTAAAGGTTTTACTTCTTCGTGTATTTACGTCAAATGGAAAACATTTAAATAGGTTTTTAAAGGAGTACGCATTAAAACCCCTACCTTTCACCACCGTGTCTTTCGGATGACCACATGGTAGTTCTGTACTATTTTTTTTATCAGACGTTCGTGAAATCGATCAGCCCTGGGCCCACGCTTCACGAAGGGGCATCCCGAAAGGCAGACGAGTGTCAGACGCGTGAAGCGTGGGCCTGGGTCACGCTACCCTGCCGCGTGCAGCGGGCATAGCCTCTGGGCATCGCTCAGGCGGTCACGCCCAAGGTGAAGCAGGTGCGGGACAGGAAAGGGAAGCATCGCCGGATTTTTGTTGCCCAAATCATCGAGATTGGCTTTTCCATTTCGGCGCATCACCTTGCCTGCAGACCTTTGAATTGTCTCCTTCTATCCTATATTGTCCCAAATTGTTTTATGGGCTGCTTCTGTCTTCCCAACAGAACTAATTACCTATCCTACAGAGCAGAGGGAACAGGTGTCACTGCTGAGTTGAACTGAAGGTTCTTCCCAGAGCCGGCTAAAGGAGTAACGAGAACGTATCTCTGTGTCCCCAGAGAATGGACAGATGTACATCCAGAAAAAGCCGACCATGTACCCGCCCTGGGACAGCACGTTCGATGCCCACATCAACAAGGGAAGGGTGATGCAGATCATCGTGAAGGGCAAAAATGTGGACCTGATATCCGAGACTACGGTCGAGCTCCACTCCCTGGCTGAGCGGTGCCGGAAAAACAATGGGAAGACAGAAATATGGGTAACTACCTGAGCCGCGAGCTCCATTTCAGATGTTTCTACCCTTATGTGACCAGTACCATGTTAGCTAAAGACGAGCTCAAAGTTTCCACGTCATCCTAAAGTTATGATGCACGAGCCTTGACTACACAGACTCCCTCCCACTCACTCACTGGCGACTTGATAGTGACCATGATTATCGGTCGAGGACTACAGGACAAACCGACATACTCGAATCTCTTTGATCCTTCCGTAAGGTCGAGAAGGTGTCGTAGG